GCCAGTGTGCCTCGCGGTGAACCTCGACCCCTGCTCTCCTTTGCCCCGTACAGAACTGGCGCTTAGTGGGGACCTGAGGTTGCTGTGAGCTGGGCCGACGCCACGGCACTCCAGCCCAGGTGACAGAGCGAGACTGTCTCAAAAAAAAAAAAATTTATGTGTATAGAGTCGTTTATTGCCGTATCGTCCTTCGACATCTCTGTAGTGATAGCCCTTGTTTCGTTAATTGTGTCGGTAATTCACGGCTTCTCTTTTGTCTTCTTTGTTGGTCTTGCTGGAGGTTTGTCAATTTTACTGATCTTTTCAAGAAGTCAGCTCTCATTGTCATTGATTTTCTTCTATTTTCTGACTTAAATTTCATTGATTTATTATTTCCTTTCTACGTGCTTTGGGTTTAGTTTGCACTACTTTTTATAGATTCTTGATGTGGGAATTTAGGTTATTGATTTGAGACTTTTTCTTAACGTAAGCATTTAGTGTTAAGAATTTCATGTTTTAATCATGTGCCACAAATTCTGATGTGCTGTGTTTCTGTTTTCCTTAAGTTTAATGTACTCCACAGCTTTTCTTTGACCCGTGATTACTTAGAAATGCATTTAATTTCCAAACGTTTGGGGATTTTCCCATCATCTTCCTGTTGTTGGTTTCTAGCCCAGCTCCCTGCGAGTAGAGGACTCTGGATGATTCCAACTTTGTGAGGTTTGTCGTCCGGCCGGGGTGGGGTCCGTCCTGGCCTGTGCTCCGGAGCAGTCAGAGAGAACGTTCGCTCTGCCCTTGTTGGGAAGAGGGTTCCACTGAGGATGTTGCTGAATTCTTCTCTGTCACTCCTGATTTTCTGTTTAGTTATTTCAGTTGCTAAGAACGTGACGTTGAAACTTTGCTTGTAATCGTGGGTTTGTCTCTTCCTCCTTCGGCTCTGTTGTTCGGCGTGTGCGTGTCCAGGATCGCTGGGCCTGTTGGTTGAGTGACCCTGCGTCACGTGTAGTTCTCCCCCCTGCAGATAATTCCCTTCACCCTGAATATGAAGTTACCTGGTACGAATACGGCCATCGCGGCTGTCCTTTGATTGCTGCTCGCATGATGTGTTTTTCCCTTTTTTTACTTTCCTTCCTACTGTAGCATCGTATTTGACGTGAACTCCACCTAGACGGCACACAGCTAAGTCTTTTTTCTTCAAGTCCACTCGGCCAATGTCTGTGTTTTCGCTGGTATATTAAGCCCATTTATGTTTAATGTCATCATTGGTATATTAGGGCTAACATCTCTCATTTTATTTTTTGTTTTCTGCGTGTTCTCTATTTTCTACCTGTTCTCTATTTTCTTGTTTCTTTGTTTTTTCCTCCCTTCCTGTGAGTTACTTTAACACTTTCTGAAATCCATTGTAATTTATCTACAGTGTTTGTGAGCACCTTTCATTTCGTGGTTGCTCTAGACGTGACGTCACGTGTGCATCTGCGTAACTTGTCACGGTTTGTTGGCGTCAGCGTTTTTCCAGTTTGGATGAAATTTGGAACTTTATATCTCCTTTATGGCACTTGGCCTCCCTCGTTTACAACGTGACTGTTTCAGTGTTTTCTGTACCTGCATTTAGAGGGACGTCTGGGGGTGTCGTGTTTGGTCCCCGTCGACGTGAAGCCCGAGAGAGGAGCGCGTCCCCGCCCTGTGCTCTTTCTTCCCTCACGGCGTCCCAAGGTTCCTTCTTTTGTGTTTCCTTTAGATTTAGAGAGGCCCATCTGGCAGTTCCTTCAGAGTTGGTCTTCTGGTGAAAGACTCTCATTCTTCCTTTCTCTGAGAATATCTGATTTTTCTTTCCTTCCTGCAGGACGTTTGCCTTGGGTGTCTGCGTGGCCAGATTTGCAGGATTCTGGGCTGACAGTTCTTCTCCTTCAGCACTTGGAGAGCTGAGCCTCCCGGTGGCCTCCACGGTTCTGATGAGAAATCCTGTCACATGAGCCTGTTTCCCTCATAGGTGTCACTTTGCTCTGGCTGCTTTCAAGGTTTTTTCTTTGTAGGTTTTCAGAAGCCTAATTATTAGGTGTCTTGGAGGAGATTTGGGTCTATTCTGTTTGGGGTGTGCTCAGCTTCTTACATTGTTGGGTCTATGTCTCTTGCCAAAATAGAGAAAGGTTCGGCCATTATTTTTCTGAGTACCTTTTCAGACTGTCTTCTTTCTCCTCTCCTTTTGAGATTCTTGGTGCGAACGGTAGACCTTTGGCTACAGCCCACAGTCCCTGAGACTCATTCTTTTTTGGCTGTTTTCTCCCTGTTGCTGCGGTTGGGTGTCAGCTCCTGTCGTTCTGCCTCTAGCTCACTGGTCTCTCCACCCTTCCGTTACCTGCATTCACGGAGCCGTTTATTTGGCTTATTGCATTTTTGTTACAAAGTTTCCATTTGGTTTTTGTTTACAGTGTCTATTTATTTGCCAAGACTTTCTGGTTTTCGCTTGTTTCAGTGTGTTCGTAATTGCGCACTGAAGCGTTCGCCAGACAATCACGACGTCTCACCATCCGGCGTTGGTGTCTGTGGGTTCTCTTCTCCGTTCTTTTGCGATCGTCCTTGTTATTGGTATGAACAATGATTTCCTATTGAACCTGGACATTTTAATATTATATCACAAGACTCTGGATCTTGTTGAAACCTTGCATTTTAACTGCCGCTGCTTTGCCAGGGTGAGAGGTGGGGGGCCTCCTTGTCACTGGCAGGTGGGGACAGAAGTCTGAGCTCTGTCAGTACCTAAGAGCGGGGCCTTCCCCTCATGCTGGTGCCAACTCCCCAGGGGTCTCCCCTGACACCGTGGGGGTCAGCAACCACCACCTGCTGGGTTGGGAATGCCACACTGCGGCTTCCTGGAGGAGGGTGTCCAGGCCCCCGTGGCCTCTGCCAGCAGGGTCGGGAGGGGCTGTACTTTTTCCATGGTGCTTGGCTGGAGTAGAGCTCTTTAGTCTGAAATCCATCTTGTCTTGTTGAGCGTCTCCTGTCTTTGCCATCTGCGCAGAGATGGCCTCAGGTGGGTGTTTCTGTCTGACCTGGTATTTCCGGGAGTCTGCTTCGCCCCCAGGTCTGGGTGTATGAGGCGAAGAGAAGATCTGGAGCTCACGCCGGCATTCTTCGGTCGGCCTTCTCTCTCCGCCCTTCCGGGTCTCGTGCCTATTTCACGTGTGTCCAGAGTTTCTAGCTGCACCAAGTGGGAGGAGTATGGAAAAGTGCATCTTCTCTGTCTTTCTGGAAGCTGAGTCTTTCTTCCTAGGGTTTTATTCCCCCAGGATGTGCCCTGGAGAGAAGTTCACAGGGAATGTTTAAACCCTCAGATCTACGCGTTCCTTGGTTTGTTTGTTATATCCCAAAACACAGATCCTTCCCGCTCCCAGGAAAGCGTGGAGATGTGGGCTGCAGAGCAGGGGTCCTCCTGGGGCTGCGCGGTCCAGGCGCCCCTGTGCATCAGACGCCTGCTGCTCTGGAGGGGCCGAGCCCCCCACAGGCCCGGGAACCGGCGTAGCTCAGACCTTTGTGCTCCATAGGTAAGAAATATCACTGAATTTCAGTTGTTTACATTTTAAAAATAGACTTTTTTTCATGAGAGTGTCCCTTTGTGCTCAATTTGCTGTTTCCTGATGAATGTTAGTCTTAAGGCCACCCTTTTGGCGTGGCATGGTTAGAATACGCCTGTTTTCTAAATCCGTGCTGCTGGGCACGGTGCTAACGCCGATTGCGCCTCCTCCTGGGCGTGGACAGCGATGCCACACGCACACGCATCAGAGAGGGTGTCTAGGCTGCCGGGCAGACGGAAGGGACTTGCTCATTGTTACGCACATTTGACCTGAGAAAGGGCGGCAGTGACCGTGGGGCCCCATCTCTAAACGTCACGTCCAAACAGAGCTGCTTAGAACAAGTTGGGGATCGTCCTGTTGGGTGAATTTTCCCAGCAACTTCCACGATGGGTGACACCATCAAGCCGTTTCAGATTTAGAAATATGCCAACTGTTTGCATCTTGCCATCTGTAAAATTAAAAATTTAGATTTGCATTTGAAAAAAATACCGAAGCGTGTTCATGAAGGTGGCCTAGACCTACTGAACTCTTTTAATTCCACCCAGAATACATGGTTCTCAGCAAGTTCTGGACTTCCTTACACCACACACACACACACACACACACACACACACACACACACACACGGCACAGAGCCTCCTGATTTGAAGATTTTGGTAATGTGTTTTTGTACAAGGCATAAAAATATATCACTGTAATTACATGATATTTAGTGATTAGATAATTATGGATAATTGCACAGGGTAGTTCTAAGTGCTAAAGTGTTACCATAAGATCTAAAATGTACAAATTGCATAATAATTATTCTTGGGTGTTATTTGGTGATTCTGAGCATAATTATCATGTGATCCACAGTGCATGTAATTAATGCATAATCACATGGATTTTGCCTTCATAACGGCTTCACCCTTGTTATAAAGCTCTTTGTCATAACATTTGAGCAAAAACACAATGTAATTGGCTTCCGGATACAGCACATTAAGCCTTGGTAATCGCCTTCACGGCAACAATATCCCTCGTCCCATTCCGAACGCTGCTCTTACGTGAGGCCGGGTGAGGAAGAGCACGTCACTGGGAGGCGTTGGCCGGCAGGAGCCATGGCGGCAGGGTGGCGCGTGAATGTGTGCGCAGTGGTGAGGAGTGTCTTTGCTGTGGCCAAACCCGTCCACGTGGAGGAGTTTCCACCCTTCCCACTGGCGTGAAATCTCTTCCAGCGGAAGTGTGGGGTGAGGCTCCCGGCTGCGCAGCCCTGGCCAGCGCCGCGAAGCCTGTGTCACAATGTCGCAGAGCGTCGTCATCTTCCTGGTCCACGAGTTTCCAAAGGCTTCTGGGCTTGTGTCGGGAGAAGCTCTGATTGACGCCCGTGAGAGGGAGCCTTGGCTTGCTGATGGCGTCGGCAGCTTGATGCTGAAATGCGATTTCGATGACAGTTTTCACAACTTTCCCCCACAGGTTTCACGTGGCAGGACGAGTATGCCCAGTACGTGATGGCCCAGGAGCTCGCAAACCTCCCCAGATCCTACCCACGGCGTCCTGAAGCATCCGCCCTGGCCAGGTGAGTGTGGCCTCGTTTGTGCCCTTGCTCCCAGGCACGTCCGCGTCCAGCAAGCCTGTTGGTTTTCTGTTTGCTTTAATGTGGCAAAGCCCCCGGCCCGTCTTTCTGGTGTTAGAAGCGTCGGGACGTCGGTGTCTGTGGGAAGGGATCAGGGCTTCCTCTCTCCACCGTGTCCCAGCCCAGAGAGGATGACCTTGGCACATCCTCCAGTGAGGTACCGTTTTCACTGAGAGACTTTTTGTGGCCCAGGGATCCCCCCATTCCCATGAGACCCTTAGAAAAATCCTCCTTTTCAGAGCCTTGGTTGATACTGAGAGGTCACGAATTCTCAGTTCTCAGTGAGAAATTGTGTTCACTTTAGTGCAAAAAGCAGAATTAAACCATGAAATCCTTGGCTTCTCTGTCCCAGAGCAGCAGCCGGTACTGAGCTAAAGATTTTGCTCTGTACAGTCTCATGGCACCTCCTGCGACCCCTGGCAATTGCCAGCGTCCTGCCCGTCCTCGCGGAGAGGGATGAGACACAGCGAAGCTGACAGGTGAATCTGAGGACAGACCACGGTGAGAGTGCTGAGGTCATCCGACTCGTGGGCCATCGTGCCATTTTTCATGCTTAAAAAACAAACGTGAGGGGATCTTTCCTAAAGGTTTAGTTTTGCAAAGCCCATTTTTCCCAGAGAGAGAATATTCTAGAACCATTGCCTTCAGGTAGACAAATTCACATAACACAAAAATTTAGATATCTGCTTTCGCACCCACGTCCGCCTGCAGGGCGGCAGCCTAGTCCTGGTGGCGTCACGTCTGTGTCCTTCCAGGGCCATGAGGCTGGGCACGGGCTCCGTCCCTGGCACGTGGCACACGCCTGAGGGTGGGGACCGTGTCTTTGCTCTCCTCGTGCCCGGGATGCCGGCCCTTACTGCCTTCTGCGTTGAGGAGACCTGCTGTCATTGTCTGTAGGTGTGTGTAGGACTTTTTTGTAAAAAACAAAACAAAACAAAAACCCACCGAAGCGTTCTCAGCTTGAGCTGTCTTGGATGTGTTCACACGGCTCACTGCCTTGGGTCACGCTTGCGGGGCTGCGGTGCGCCGTCCCGCGTGACCTTGAACTCCAGGCCAGGGCTGGACGGGCAGCCCCCGGAGAGCTGAGAGCGGAGGGGAGGGAGAACGGGGAACGCCACAAAGGAATGATCCCGCGTACTCATGGGACACGCAGGGGACGCAGCAGTGGCCGCCACACGCCAGGAGGAAAGCGTGTCACCAGCAGAGCCAGAGAGAAACTTCCTCTGGAAACGGGGCCGGGGCCATTCGGGAGACCCTGGAGCAGCCTTTGGAACAGCATCGAGTATGGTCGTTAACAAAAATTGGCAGTTTTTTTTTTTTTTTTTTTTTGAGACAGA